GCGGGGACGCGACGGGGGGACGCGAGATGGGGCACGTGGCGATGTCTGTGCGCTGAGGGTTCCCTCGGTCCCCGGGCTGGCTGCCCCTGCTCCTGCCAGCGTCCCCGCTGCACTGACCAGGGCTGCCTGGCCCGGGGCGGCCACCGGCCCGTGTGCCCCGGCAGGCTGCAGAGGTGCCTCCCCTTCGGAGGAGCCGGCTGCTGGGGACGCGCTGCTGGCAGCACGAGGTGTCTGACGCAGCCAGGGGCTGGAGCCAGGGACCAGGCCTGGAGCCAGGGACCAGCTGTGTCTGGACAGCCTGGATCAGCTGCCCATGTCACCTCTGCCAGCCGGAGGCGAAGCCCCGTGTGTTGTCCTCAGCTGGTGACCCCACTGCTCTGAATTTCCCATCCCATCTGCTTCCTTGCAGGCTCGTTTAACCTTCCTTCCTCTCCCCGCAGGGCAGGAGGGGCTTTTATTTCCACTACTGGGCCTTGTTCGATGGCCATGCGGGCAGCGGCGCCGCTGTCCTGGCATCCAAGAGGCTCCATCTGCACATCTGTGAGCAGCTCCGGGACCTCGTGGACATCCTGCAGGACCCCTCCCCGCCTCCCATCTGCCTCTCGCACGACACCCGGGCCGGCCCCACCGAGCCGAGCCGGGTCCCCCCGCCAGAGGACAGTGGGGAGGTCCCCAACGATGCTGTGCCACGGTTTCACCTGGAGAAAGAGGTCTCCCACGAGAGCCTGGTGATCGGCGCCATCGAGAACGCCTTCAAGCACATGGTGAGAGAAGCCCCCACCCGTGGGGACGCCCGGGGCACCCCCAGAGCCCTGCTGTCCCTGCCTGCACCCGCACGTCCCCTCCAGCGAAAGCAGCTCTGGAGCAGGGCGGGGGCTGCGGTGAGGGCTCCGAGCAGGGTGGGCTCGGAGGGGCACTGTGATGCTCTCCCGTATCTCGGGGGCTCAGGACGCAGGCACCTGGGTCTCCGATGTGGGTGCAGAGGGCTTCTCTGTGCTGCGTCCCCAGCCCTGCAGCCGCCCTGCATGGGGAAGGGTGCCCGGCCCCGCCTGGAGCAGGCTCTGGGCCAGGCTTGTAGCCCAGGTGCTGCCGGAGCAGCCGGGTGCTAGTTTGGGCTGCTTGCAGCTTTGCTTTGCACCTTTGCCTGCCCGCCCTGCCTGGAGCCACGCTCTGTCTCCCCAGGACGACCAGATCGAGCGGGAGCGAGTGTCCCAGCGCCTGCCCGGGGGCTGCTGCGCCCTGGCCGCCGTCTACCTCATGGGCAAGTTCTACGTGGCCAACGCTGGCGACAGCAGGTACGGCCCTGCGGAGCAGCTCCCGCCTTTCGCCCCGTAATCGAGGAGCTCCCCGGTGCTGGAGGCTGCTGAGGAGCAGCCGGCTCCGTCCCTGAAGCTGGGCTGTCTTGGGGAGGGCAGAGGCAGCGGGACTGGGCAGAGCCGTGCGCCGGGGACAGCGTGTCCTGCCATCGTCCCCGCGTTTGCCCGGCGCGCAGAGCGGGCTGCAGAGCCACCTCCCAAAATCTGGGACTTGCGCCTTCCTCCCCGTCTGCTTCTGGATCACACCCCAGCCCCTGCTGCCAGCGCTGGTTTGGGCTGCAGGTTGGGGAGGGAAAATTGCCCTCAGCAAAGCTTTCGGAAATGTTCAGTAAGTTATTTTAGGGCACACTTTGTACCGGTGAACTGTGTCAGGAGAAGGACACCCAAATCTTCGTGCAGAGAAGTCCCGTGGGAGCGCAGGGACGTTGGCTGATCCGTGCGTTGCCGTGGGCGCGCTGCTGTAACTGGGCCTGGGTGTGTTCCTGCCCCCGAGCCATGGCAGGAGGGCAAGTCCACCTTGTGCTGGGGGTGAAGCTGAGTTGAGTAGCTCTGTATTTACTCCAGGGTTTGCTTGTCCCAGGCAGGGTCAGGCCAGCAAGTACAGGCTCTGGTAATTGTCTGAGGCTGGAGGATGTGCTTCCAGCTCTGGGATGGAGGGACAGGAGGAGGAGGAGGACCTTGGTGCCTCCAGTTTTGGGTGCGGGGCCCCTCCGTGGCCGTGCGGGACGTGCGCGGGGCCCCAGGGCTGTAACGGTGCCGCTGGGCGAGGGTCTGTTCCCTCCTCGGGCGCTGGATGCTGCCAGGGCTGGGCTCAGAGCTGGGCTCAGCCAGGCCCGGCATCGCTGGGGCAGAGCCACAGCCCCGGGGGGGACAGTGGGGGGGACAGCTGGGCCACCACTGCTGGAGATCCTCGATCCCCCCATGCCATCCAGAAACATCTCATAATCAGACTTTCAGGGTTTTTAGCACATTAATCCATCAGAGCAGCCCCAGCCGTGTCCTGCTGCTGCCGAATTCTGCCTGGCTGGCGTGTGGCTCCCCTCTGGGGGGGGGTACCCACCTTTGTGCTCCTCCTTTTCTAACCGTAGCCTGCCCTTTGGTTTGCTCTGCTTCATTCCCCTCTGCCCCATGCTTCTCTTCCGTTTCCTCTGCCTCGCAGCCCCTGTGCCGCACGGGCGGGGGACGTGCCCTGCCTTACGCAGCGGATTCAGGCCGCAGCCCCCGGCCCGGGGCTGGGGAGGGGGCTGGCAGCCGGGGGCAGGGCTGCACCGCCCCGCAGCCCCGCAGGGAATCGCCCCGGAGCGCCGGGCTCAGCTCCCCCGCCACGGCTCCTCTCCGCCTCCCTAATCGCATCCTTCCATGTTTCATTGCAGGGCCATTATCATCCGTA